GTTGAGCTAGTAGCCGGTACCAATTGGGGATATCGCGAGTCGCGGCTACAGGACGGTATTCAGATATTTTTGATGTTGCAGAGCCCTTTATCTCGGTCCCCTTAAGACATTGGTGTATATGGTACTAAGAAAAATTGCTTATGTTTCCAAGATCTACACGTCGTGTAAAGGAAAACCCCAACTTTGCCGACACCCTGTATAAGCAATTGCATTTGAGATTCGGGAAATGCAGCGTTTGCTGAAAAATATTATTCATTGCAAAATTTAGCAATCGCTTTTCCTTACAGCAATTGCTAGTTAAGCAATTGCTTTTGCCAAAAAGTAATTGCTTAAAGTAACTGCTTAGTTTTTATTCATTAGGCTAAAAAACTCAACGCCAAGCGCATCTTCGATTCTGATATCTAGACTCTGCCTGTGTCTACCTACATCACTATGCCTTTTGTCATTTTTTTAATAAGTTGCAGTATAATGATCTGTGCTCATATTGGCGTCAATGCACTTTTCCACAGGAACCAAATCATCGGTACGAACCGTGGGTACTTCACCGGCATCGCGGTACTCAAAACACCGTCGCGGCGTCAGTTGTGCTTTCGCGCCGAACGCTGGCAGGCGCCTTCTCTTGTTTCAAAGCCACCTTTGATCGCGGCAAATCGAATTTAGACACGCGACGCGCGCGGAAAGCCAGAGTGCATGGTGGTTTTTGTCTGTTTGTGGTAGCCGCAACTGCTAGATTCATTGTGCTGTGAATATGCGACGTAACATGGAGTAATTGGATACATTGTTAACAATACTAAGCTGGTACGTTCATAGATATCACAGAATTTACGCTGAAATAAAAATATTTTGTCTCCAAGGAATGCAATTCTCAAAAATCCAATTTGAATGATAAAAGGGTTTGATTTCTCCATCATGTGACATGGGCGCCCGCAGGCATTTTTCTCAAAGGAGGGGCGATCATTGGCAAGAGATAACTTGTTGTGAATGTCCGCCTCTGAAACTTTTTGAAGGGCGGGGGTAGCAAATTTTCCAAGGGGGGGGCTGCATATTCTGCAATTGCTCAAAATTATACACAAAATCATGCTAAATATGCAAATTTTAAGGGCCAAACAGATTTTCCGGCAGCAAATGCGACCCAACATTCTGGTATGAAAGCTCAATTATTGGAACATTAACAGCAAGCAAAAGATTCAAGAAGTGCGAAGATACACAAAAACCTACGAAACATGTTATTCGGGATTATCTTAGTCTAAGGGTCTGTTTTTGAATCGCAGGTCAACTGTGATCTTACTGCTAATTAGAAGTTAACTCTAAACACACTTTTGTCAATTTCACGATTGTACTAAAACGCTAGTTAGTTTAAACCAGAAGACTATCTACAGTAATGGACAAAAGTATACAGACAAATATGAATATTTACCTAAATACCTTTAGAAAACGAATTCATACTTCATTGCTCCATAAACAAATGCCTTATACAAGACTGATTATAAGCACTTTTTTATGATTCACAAAAATATCTAGACAAATCCTTTTCAACATTAATTTAGTACAGTTTCGTGTCAGAAGAGGATCAGTTTGTGTTCATCAAGTATTGTGGAATAAGTTGAGTGATTTTGGACCATGCCGCGTGGTCCAGAAATTTCTTTCGATGTGAAAACTAAGATCATTGGTTTAGACAAAGATGGTCAACGTCAAGTTGACGTTGCCAAAAATTTGAAGCTGAAGCGTGAATCAGCTTGGGCAATATTGAACAAATATAAACAAAAAGGTATCTTGGAAGCCTCTAAGAGAAGTGGTCGGCCTAGAAAAATGAATGCTAGATCAGTTAGATTAATAAAAGTAATTTGTCCAAAGATCAGTTTAAAACTCCAAGACAAATAAAAGCCGAAATCGAGACAAAAGGAATTGTCAGTGTTTCTACGAAAACTATAAGTAGAAGATTAAATGATTTGAAGTTATTTGCACGTCGCTCGAGTAAGAAGCCGCTAACCTCGAGGAAAAACCGTATGGACCGACTACAGTTTGCACGGTTGCATCTTGATTGGAGCATCTGTGACTAGAAGAGGGTATGTTTCAGTGACGAATCCAAGTTCAATATGTTTGGATCAGATGGTGTTCATTATGTTAAACGTCCTAGTGGACAAGGATTGAACCCCAAATACACTTTGCCCACTGTCAAACATGGAGGCGGGTTTGTTATGGTTTCTTTTCGGGGATGGGATCTTTACATAGAATAGATGGCATTATGGATAAGTTTGTATACACATACATACTAAAGCATATCATGTTACCCTATATGGAAGACAATATGCCCTTAAGATCAATCTTTCAGCAAGATACCAGTTCTCAAATGGCCTTCACAGTCTCCAGATCCATTGAAAATCTATGGGAATACTTAGATAAGCAAATACGTGATAAAAATTATTCAAACAAGGAAGAACTTTTTACCGCTTTAAAGCAAATTTGGAGACAGATTGATGAATCTTACGTAGTCATGCCATAAGTTCTGTCCCTCGTTTTCAAACAAGTGTAGACCTGTTAATACTTGTCCGATTGTTTACATTGTAGTGTCAGTTGATTAAGCGCTTTTCGGGTAATTACATATACCTCAGTTTGTATTGATCTCTCGAAGCATAACGATGGAGTGGGGCAAGGCAGAGAACCGTATTGCAGTGATAGCTTTACATAAGTGTAATCACAGTGCTAGTCAGATTTTTGAACTCTTACGCGGCCTTCAAATATCGCGTAAATTTGTGTCTAGGACCATTCAGCGGTACAATGAGACGTCCTCTGTTGATGACAGGCCAAGAAGCGGAAGACCTCGTCAAGTAAGGACTCCAGCAGCCATCAAAGCCGTAAAAGCCAGGATTCAAAGGAATCCACTCCGGAAGCAGAAGATCCTATCCAGGGAAATGAAGATTCCTGTCCGGACGATGTCGCGCATCATTAAACAAGACCTAGGGCTAGGGGCTTACCGGAGACGTACGGGCCAGCGACTTACGGCCACCTTGCGACACATCAGGGCGACAAGATCCAAGAAGCTCTTGGAGAGGTACGCAGCTGGGGGATTCCGAAAGATTTTGTTCACGGATGAGAAAATCTTCACCATAGAAGAAAAATTCAACCGACAAAATGACAAAGTGTATGCAAGGAGTTCACAGGAAGCTTCGGAGATCATTCCGAGAGTTGAGAGAGGCCACCACCCTGCGTCAGTCATGGTTTGGTGGGGGGTGTCCTACGAAGGGGTCACTCAGCTCCATTTCTGTAAACAGGGCGTGAAAACAAAAGCGGCAAACTATCAGAGCGACATACTGGATCCTATCGTCAAGCCTTTAAGTGGTACATTGTTTGCCAACCAACACTGGGTCTACCAGCAGGATTCCGCCCCCGCTCACAAGGCTAAGAGTACGCAGCGCTGGCTGGAAAGCAATGTGCCAGAGTTCATTGCTGCGGAAGATTGGCCCTCAGGGAGTCCGGACCTCAATCCTTTAGACTACAAGTTGTGGGACCTGCTAGAGCAGTTGGCCTGCTCCAAAGCCCACCGTAATATCGAGTCCCTGAAAGCGGATTTGATCCGATCAGCGGCAGCTATTCCTTTGGAAGCTGTGCGTGCAGTGATAGATGAGTGGCCCGCGAGATTGAAGCAGTGTGTGAAGGCCAAGGGGGGACATTTTGAATAAAACTGTTTGATTATGAATTCTAAAAATGTTGTCGAATAAATAATATCTTTCATATAAATATATCTTATCTTGTTTCATTTTTATCATGAGATTATCATGGGACAGAACTTATGGCACGACTACGTATATCAAGAAACTTCTACAATGAATGCCGAGACGATGCCAGGCGGTAATTGATAATAATGGTTATGCTACAAAATATTAACACAAACATGGTTGGTTTTCTATAATTCAATGAACTTTGCTTCTTTTTTCTGTAATTGCTTTGCTTTACCTATATATTTTTGTCCCAGTTCCAGTTTTTTCAATTAATTATTTATTGAAGGGAGTCTAAAGAATTTATTTATGTATGAGTGTTATGCTATAACGAATTATGTATACAGGTTGGTGTATTAATAAAACAAGAAAAGAAATACAGCACAATATTAATTTGTCTATATACTTTTGTCCATTACTGTATGTCGCAAAACGCACAGAACGCGATAGTTCAGATGTAAAAGCAGTGCTACCAAATCAATAGTAATAGGTTAGCTAACTAAGACTTGAAAAACGGATTTAGTTAACATACAAGTTATGGTTACTAAACTTGAAAGTTTACCAGCTATCGAAAAACCTGGTCCAAGTGACATATAGGCTAGATAAATCAAAAGGAAAAGGAAAATTAAAACTGACATAAGCTAAGCCACATGATGTAATCTACCTTTTTATGCAGCCCTTATTCACTTTTTTGGAAGAGTTCAGAACTTCATTATTTCGGTGTTCATTTCATTCTGCGCGATACGCGATTTATTTTACACCTCTGCGTATGTCTATGTTAATTCAGGGAAATATAATTGCCACCGAAATAATGAGGTTTTAAATCTTTATGAGAAGCGGATGAACAACAGTATAATGCCCACTGTCGCTAATACGCTTTGGACGTGTGAACATCGTGTTAACTCGTATTTTCGTGCAAAATGTATAAACCGCTGTGCATATCAAATTTCCGACGAACCCTTGTGCTATCTCAGAAAGTGAAGGTGGAAGCCCTTCGTGCGTATCGCCGCTTCCTGTTATGAATCATCGAAGCTCTGAAAAGTACGCACATCTACATACAAGAATGAGTTGGATTATTACTTTTGTATACGGTGTATATTTTCAACAGGTGCGAAAATTACGGGGAATGGAAAAAAGGGACTTCCCACACATCGCTGTCATCAGTTTATAAGAACATATGGGGCTGTCCAAAACGGACGCAGGAAAGTAAACGCATATTAAAACAAGAAAGATTGATATTCAAATCAAGCTGGGTACTTTATTTTGAAGGTTCATTTATACCATTTATGTATGAAAAATAATATCGCTCAAATGTTCACCACGACTGGATTTACAGACGTCCACGCGATGATCGAAATTTTCAATGACATTTTGCAACATGGTTGGTTCTATGGCATTTATCTCGGCAATGATGTTGTTTTTGAGTTCTTGGAGAGTGGCTGGTTTGTTGACGTAGACTTTGCTTTTCAAATATCCCCATAAAAAGAAGTCCAAGCGAGTCAAATCGCACGATCTTGGTGGCCATGGCACATTTCCTCTGCGCGAAATCACGCGATCACCGAAGAAGGACTGCCATCGATGGATATTGACGTTGGTTGTGTGGCATGTTGCACCGTCTTGTCGGAAATAAACATCGTCCATATCCATTCCTTCAAGTTGGCCCGACGCAGCTCTTGCGTCAATTGGATCTTGTAGGCGTGTACATTCAAATCCTTGTGGAGAATGCGGAGCAAACTGGTGCTCGAAATGCCCAATTCTTGGGATCGACGCGTTGTTGATTGTTTCGGATCGTCTCTCACACTCTCCTTCACAACAGCAATATTTTCCGGTGTGCGAACGCTCCTTGGCCGGCCAGAGCCTGGCACATTTGCCACAGAACCTGTTGCCTCGAATTTACGCACCAGACGACCGATGGCGATGGTTGTTTCGTTTGGGCGGTTGTTGCGACCGAAATGTTCACGAAGCGCGCGAAACGTGTTTTTTATTTTTGCACCATTTTTGTAGTGCTCTTGAATAACTTTAATGCGGTCTTCAATCGAATACGACTCCGTAGCGATCAATGGTAGACATTCAACTAACAAAATGACATGTCTTTGACAGAAAACAAAGATGGCGTCTATGTCAAATTGACGTTTACTTTCCTGCGTCCCTATTGGACAACCCTTTATATTCGGCATACGTGTGCTCCTCTTAGACAGACATTCAATGGACCAAGTCAGTCAAATATGTCCACAATATTAGTGTCCAGTCATAGACCATGGCTTCCTGATAATCTGGCTGCCTCATAAAATTTGCATATTTAGTCGTGGGAGTAATGGACGCTGTACCAGTAATGATCACTTCAGCATTGTAAGCTCAGCTTACTCTCAGATCCGAGCCTGAAGATACTCTGATTTGAACATAATCTATTGTGTCTGGCAATACTTTAGCGTCTCCCAAAAGTTAGGGCAACCAGTATCACACCTTGCCCCAAATATCCAGAGTTTTGAATAACGTTGCATCGTGAATCACGTACAAGTTATTGCGAAAAGTTTCGTCTTGCTTAGAATACTGGTATAAGATTGATGTTTTTTTTTTGTTTATGGTTCTCTTATTTGTGCCTAGGATAATAAGGAAACTTAAAATTTTAGGTATAATTTTTTATTTGTTTTGAAATTTGTCCAAGTTTTGCGATGGGTGACCAATACCAGATCAAAAATAATTGGAGATGTCCCACTAATGAACACTGCGAATAAACCTTTTGTTTTTTTTATTGAAGATGTTACAGATATCCAATAGTGACAGCAAATGAAGAAAAATGATTTGATCATTATCACCAAATTACATGATGTTTTGATACAAAAATGTTGCTCCTTCGATTTCAAATTCCTCAAATTTTATTGGTGATTTATTCCAGTTTTCAGTCTCTGTTAGATCACTGGTTACCAAGATATCAGGAGTAGAAGACAAAGGGATCCTTTTTCATTCAACATCGGATACCCCGACGGCAAATAATCGTATCGACATTTAAAAAACAGAATATTGAAGCTGAATAAACGGGTCATCCAATTCATATAATGATGTAACAGAGAAACGTTTGTTCACGCCCGCCGACTAAAAAGGAGTAAACAATTTTGCAAAACAATTTTCTCGTGCTACCTGTTGAAATAACGTGAGAATCGTTGCTGATAAATTTGAAAAATAGACTCTTAGAGCGTCAAAACGCTATTTTAAAATCTCGATGTGTCCATTTTTGACCCAAATACAACCCGTCAAAGATTACCGAATAATTTGGATTTTTTCTTGGTCATTAAATCTTTTTGCTGTGAATTTTTTAGTCTTTATTCGAAAGTACTCAATTTTTATTCAACAGTTCAAGATGAAATTACTAACGATTGCCATTTGAACATAAATAACCAATGCCATTTATAAATAAAATCAAATGACCTTTGACCTACGTATAATTTTTCTATGATCAATTAAAGTATAAGTCGAGAACCCAATTAACATAACTACCGTGTTTCCTATATTTTTTGAGTAACGATAGAAAACACCGAGAATGTTATGAGTTCAATTTTATCGAATACTGCGTAGTGGGAAAAATAATAAAATTTGCAACTATTTTTGTATCAGGTTTCGTAACAGCTAGAATCGTATTGTTATTGAACTGATTCAAACATAACGCAAATTTTCTAACGTCTACTCGTTTTAAACATGCGTGTATAAGCATGATATTATACGATCTTTCGTAATTTAAAATACATTTGAGGCTTTGCGCTATCATCATCATAAACATCAGCTGGTATTCGTTGTAGAGTTTTGACGTGGAAAATAGTGTACGAGGGATGTCCTTTAAATTTTGCATATGGAAATAAAACAACACGGTAAATGACTTTATTATTTTTCGAAGTATTTTCCACGAAGATTAATACAGATCTGCAGGCGCTCGAACCAATTTTCGAAGCACTTATTCCACTCGTTTGCTGGCACATCCAAAACGGCATTTTTGAATGCGTCAACTGCTTCTTCTGGTGACTGGAACCTTTAACCACGCAGTCTGTTTTTAATTTTTGGGAAAGTAAAGAAATCGTTAGGACATAGATCGGGACTATATGGAGGACGGTCCAAAAATTCCACGTTTTCTTTCGTTAAATACTGCCTTGTTTTTTGGGCTGTGTGCGAGCTTGCATTGTCTTGGTGGAGGATGATTCTTCTTTCGGGGTTTATTTTTCGAAGCTCGGTGATGACTTTTGGCAAACAAATGGTGGTATACCAATCCGCAGTAACAGTTCTTTGCTCGTTAAGAGGAATTGTTGCAATATGACCTGCTTTTGACACAATAGGCTATTTAACAGTATTGAAAATAAGTTGCGAATTGTGGTGATCCTATTAGATAATAGAATAAGAAAACACATAGTACTTTAATGTACACCTAAATATGTATATTTTTTGGGAAATAGTCAAATAAAAATCAGCTATTTTTAAAAATTCGATGGGTCACAGAAACGCTCTGCGATTGGCTGCGACTCTGGTGACGTCACATGCAAGTAAACAAACATCGCTTTGTACGTTTTTGCTGGCTTTCTGTGAGATATTCTATCATAATTCTATTTCGTAAACAGATTTTTATTACTTTCTTGATCAATCTTTCAACTATTGGCATCATTATTCGTTGTGGACTTCAAAATGGACCTAAATTTTGTGCAAGCTGATAACAGCAATCTACCTAAGGTTGACGCATTAATGCGGACTACTATGCTGCGGAACTCAAACATGTGAAAACAACAATGTAAGTAGTAATAGAAATTATTTATTTATACCTACTAACCTTTATGTATGATCATTAAAAGATTTGTAAAATCAATCTTATTTTAGGTTATGTTGATGTAGTGAAAAAAGCTTTCAGTTCAATATGATAATATGGTTCATATATGGTTTCATGAATAAAACATACTTTCATGTTTTGCTTTTGTTTTACAGGTCTGGAAGGGAGTCCTACGGAGACGATGCAATTGGCTATGTGCAGCTGCACCGGGAGCATGGACTTTGCACACTTAAGTGCAAAATGTGCCCAGAGCACAAAGTGAGATCAAAAGCTTATAATGTGACAATGGTTATCAACGAAAATGAAAGCGAGATAATAAGTTGTCAGTGCCATGACTGTGCTGCTTCAGCAGGAGGCTGCAAGCATGTAGTCGCTTTTTTGATGTGGGTACATCGGCGCAGTGAGGAACCTCCATCTACTTTGGTGGAATGTTATTGGAAAAAGCCAACATTGTCAAGAGTACATCACGGTGCAGCAGATGTCGAAAAAGGAAGTACCGCACAGACCAAGTACATCAGCACTTTACACAGACTTTATTTTGGAAGCCAAAAAAAGAAAACTTCAACACTGTGAATTGATAAAATATCAGGACGATTTTAAACACTCAAATGTTATGCGGTATTCGCTGCACTGTTTCATAATGGACCAACCACCAAAAATTCAAGCAGACGTAGACAATCTTGTAGACATAATGAAGACAACATTCAACAGAGCTGCTATCAGTGCAATTGGGTCTCTCCGAGCTAATAGTAACCACTTTTTTCGTCTTTTACAATCGGTTGGAACAGAAACAAACAATGTTTGTGGACTATTTATACACGTATTCGTACATTTTGGCACTACACACCATTTATAGACCATTTTATCTATGATTTTATAGCAAAATCAAGCAAAATAATGAAATTAACTTCGGCTGACAGCTCGTGATCGTGTTTACTGGCGTGTGACGTCACAGACGTCATCTGCCGGCGCCATCACAGGAATAGCGTTTTTGGCGCGGTTCTAAAAATTCAAACTTTAAATTTGATTTCTATTAAAAATAGTATAGATTTTCAGGAAATATTCATGTAGTGTGCTCATTATATATAAAAGAATAATTTAAAATGATTTTGCAAAATTAGTCAAATAGCCTATTGTCGCGACCATCTTTTTCGAAACACTTCGAGAACGGATGACTTTTGTTGGCTTTTCTTCACCTTGGAACACCCAAACAGCCGACTGTCGTTTATTTTCTGGTTCATAACAGTAAATCCACGATTCTTCATCACTAACAATGCTGTACACATTTTTTGAGTTTCCGGAATTGAAACGGTCAAGCATTTTTTGACACCAATTAACCCTGGCTGCTTTCTGCTCTTCAGTCAACAGGTGGGGCATCCAACGAGAAACTAATTTTCTTACTCCTAATTCTTCATGTAAAATTTTTGGATTGAGGTCTTTGAGATCTTCAAGGACGCCTCAATCTCGAGATATGTCACATGTCTATCTTCAATGATGAGTTTGCGCACAGCATCAACGTTTTCCTGGGTGACTGCCATTTTTGGTGCACCCACACTGGAATGGTCGCTAAGACTCACCCCTCCAGGTTTGAATTCTCCATACCAACGGGAAATTGTCGACTGATGTGGCGCTTCGTTGCCGAAAACAGACAGTAACTCAGCAAGGCATTCTTGTTGCGATAATTGTCTATGAAAGTTGTAATAAATTATGGCGCGAAAATGTTCTCGGTTGAGATCCATTTTTCTAATGACTTGGTGACACTTAGAAATTCACTGTAGTGAGAACACTGCACGTATTGTTGTGAAACTTTGAATTTAAGTTTACTAAAGGTTAAGATTCAGTACTGACGTTCGGTCCGCGCGGCCTACTATGTTTCTATATGCAAAACGTATCTTTAAGATATCACGTTTTAGAAAAGTAATCTATTTTACAATACTATTGCAAAACTCGCTACGAGCATAAAAGAAAACACATGTCTGGGAACTGTGCACAAGCAGTAAAACTTGAATAGCAATTTAGATGTAGTTAATGCAAAATTCACGTGTACGTACTTGTTGTTCGTGTAAACAAAACGTAAAAATCAGTACGGTCTTAAAAATAGTGTTTATTGTTTCTTCGTGTGCGATTTATAATGAAAGAAAGCAGCAGACGTAAATATTTACACGAAAACATATAGTTTGTAAGACTTTTGTCTTCCGAGAATATGAAAGGATTTGCACAATAGGAATTGTTTTGCATTAGGTGTACTGAACATTGCCTAATAACTCCTATTTATGTATATTTCATTTCGATTTCGTATCAAATAGCATAGTATAATAGTGAAAATTAAACAATTGTAAATTCTAAAACAATACTTCGTTAACGCAATGAAAGCTTTTGAGCAAGTACGTAATGAAAATTGCTTCACGTTTCGCCGCTTGACCGAATCTTTGGTGCAACAAATAATGAGAAAACGTGCTTTTTGGGATTCAATCGAAAGTGTTTTCAGGATCCCTAAAACTCTTCAAAAAATATTTTTAGGTATTTATGAGACCTATAGAATGAACACACGTAAAAAGATCCTACTAATAGTAAAACAGTTATTGCCGAAAACCGAGGCAGAATACAGGTTATGGCGACGATAATCTCAGGCAGCTACTTGAAATTCTTTAAATCGTAGGCTTCACACTTCTAAATAATGACACCAAAATTGGAGTCGATTGGTCAACTAGTTTTTGAGAATTTCTAATTGTTTATCCCAAAACACCTGTTTTCATAGCGAAATACACGAGTTATTTTTATGCGAAAAATAAAGGGGATAAACAATTAGAAATTCTCAAAAACTACTTAGCCAATCGACTCCAATTTTGTTGTCATTATTTACAAGTAGTAGCCTTCGACTTTGAAGAATTTCAAGTATCTGCGTGAAACTATCGTCTCATTACCAACAAGTGCGAAAACCTGCATCTTACCTCGGTTTTCGGTCATAACTTTTTTACTATTAGTCGGATCTTTTTACGTGTGGTCTCATTCTGTGGGTATCATAAATACCCAAAAATCTTATTTGAAGACTTTTTTCGTTCCTGCCAGACCTTTCAATTGAATCCCAAAAAACACGTTTTCTCATTCTTTGTTGTCGAATAAAAAGTTTTCCCACAAAAACTGGTGTACCCATTTTATGCGTCCTTGATTTAAATGCACCCTTGACTACAGATTTAACAATTATTCAGCAAACCAGTGGTATTTTCGTCTAATATGATTAGACTACTAGTCTAGTAACATCTGAAACATCCTGTCACGGGCGCCTGCAAGGATTTTTCTCAGAGGTCCGATCCTCGGCAAAAGATTACTTCTTGTGAAAGTGTACCTGCTCCTAAAACAATTTGAACAACGGGTGCTAGCAAATTTTCTCAGCGGGGACAAATCTTAAAATCGTCAAAAATGCATATAAAATCATATTGAATATACAAATTTTAAGATCCAAAAGGATTCCCAGTTGTTATCCCTTAACAAATGACACACTAAACTAACGGATCTGTCAATGCCAAATCTGTAAACAGAGTCGTATTTTGGTACGGTCTTTTCTATTGAGTTACTGCGTAGCTTACTTTAATAATTTCCTAAAAGGCATGCTTGTTTGTGTACTGAATAAATTTTATTGTCAAAATTCCCAGTCAGTGAAAGTTTTTATATGAAAAAGGATTTATCAATATTTGGTGTAAATAGTTCTGAATACGGTCTTAAATGTAACTAGATTATTTTTTTTTTCGACTGTACAGATTAGTACAAGCATGTCAAAATATATGAATAATCGTGAAGAACAGATTACCTTGTATAGTTCAATTATACTAAGTGACATATAAATCCGAACACCCAGTTTAAATGGTTTTATTTTAATAAAAGTTGGTGAATGTATTTATCTTACTGTAAATAACAAGTGAAAAAATTTTCAGCCTTATCAGTTGGACATTCCGGTTTTTATACTGCTTTTTTTTAATTCACTAACGCTCTAATAATGAATATTTCTGCCGCAGTAAAGAATCAACGTTGGCGGATTTTGGTTCTTGACATCCTTTACGATCGGTTACGATGCCTACAGTACGGAGACCTGTACGATTTCGTCAACTTAGTGAGTTTGATAGGGGCCGTATAGTGGGACTTCGGGAAGCTGGACTTTCTTTTCGGGCAATTGCAGTTAGAGTGCAAAGAAGTGTAGACACTGTGGTTAGGTGTTGTCAGGCATGGCTTCGAGAAGGCCGTACGCAAAGAGCAAGGGGCACTGGACGCCGCCGTAGAACAACAGACCGTGAAGATCGCCGCCTAAGATTATTGGCCTTAAGGGACCATTTTTCCACTACCAGGTCCATTGCAAATGAATGGCTTGCAGAACACGGAAGACCTATTGGCATGCGAAGTGTTTACCGACGAATGAGAAGTTTTGGCTTGTTTTCATACCGGCCACACTGGGTCCTCCCTTTAACTCGAGAACACCGACGTAATCGCCTTGAGTGGTGCAGACAACGGTCACTCTGGGATCAGGAATGGAACAGTATTGTTTTTAGTGACGAGTCTCGATTTTATTTAGGCATGCACGATAGTCGTGCCAGGGTTAGAAGGCGACGTGGTGAAAGGAGGAATCCACAGTTTTTTGTTGAACGACATGTTCATCACACTGTTGGAGTTATGGTTTGGGGTGCTATAGCTTATGGTTCCAGGTCACCTTTAATCTTCATCAGAGGTAACATGAACGTCCTCCTCAGACTCTAGAAGCACTTCGAGAGGAGTTGGTGGTTGCCTGGAATGAGATACCACAGGAGGACATTGACCACCTGATCAGAAGCATGCCTAGGCGCGTTGGAGAATGCGTAGCACATCAGGGTGCATCCACTCATTATTAAAGGTTAAAGGGCTTTAAAGCAGTGCAATCATTTTGAAATTTTTATCATTTACTTATTATGCTTCATTAAGTACTTATACAAAATTTTATTAAAATACAACCATTTAAACTGGGTGTTCGGATTTATATGTCACTTAGTATATTATGTAGTATTTGAGGCTACTTTGTCATACTTTGTGATCTAAGGAAGAATTACTGCGTGTTTCATCGCAAAAGACTACCTCCAAAAGTGAACTTAAATCGATTCCAAGGTCGAGCTTATAGCCATGGCTCTGAACGGATGCAGTGTTTTGAAATGAATTATCAGACTACAAGTATTCGGCAAAACAAATAATATAATCAAATAAAAAGTGCAAATATTTGAATGTAAACAAAAGATTAGATGTGTTTATCTAGACGTGGTCTTATTGATATTCTATTAGCACTTGGTTGTAGAATCTGCTTTTTGAAAGCTGTTACTTCCCTTGTAGGACCTGTTAATTTTGACTGTGAATCGTGTATCACTCAAACATATGAGTTCAGACTTTAACTTATCTTTTATATTAGATTTAGCTAATATTACCAGATATAAGACTACAGTTTTGTTTCACCGATTTACTATCTTTATTTTTTGACGACAGAGAAAAGCTGCCGTAATTTTTAACCTAGACTAGGTACTCGTCTAATCCAAAAAGGATACAGAAGCTTCAGTAACGCCAGTGGAATATCTCGTAAATTAATTTGTGTACAGTCTAAAGATCAAAATACATACCTAGAATTTATAATACCAAACAGTCAGGCATATCTTCCATATACAACAATTAGTCACACATTATTAGCTTCCTAACTTGGAAACAGTTCCTTTCCCATAGAAGTTATTGTCATATTGTGTTGCTTTATACTTTATAGTTCCACCTGATTATGTAATGCGACACACGACTCTTTTCAGATAGAAATATGAGATTCTGAAGGTTGACCAATATCCCATAAGGTAACCGGAACGAATTTACATCGATTGGCATTATTTTATATCATACCGGATAACACTAAATTCTTATAACACGATATATAGTATCTAGTAGCGTTGGACCACTTATTTTTATACCGAAGCAGCCGCGCAGGCAGAAGCCTAAATGCCGGGACCGCGGCTACTATGAGTAATCTCGACACTCTCGGGAGAAAGGAGCGATCGTATCGGCCAGGTATGGATGTACGTAGTTCGACACGGTTCGTATGGTAAGCCAAAGTCAGGTGGGTCAGTCTGGCAAGCATATCGCATATCTAGGTACAATTTATACTATGTATTAAATCTAAATCTTGAAAAACAGGTCACGATAATATTAAAATTATACTAATGTTTTGAACCGCAAATGTAGAGGCGATCGAAAGCTGCAGATGGCTGAAATAACAAAAGTACTTTCAGAAAAAATGGAAGAATAAATCATGATACCTTGCTCAAAAAAAGAAGCTATAGAACTGCTTTCCATGAGCTCTAACCAACTACGTGTAGTCACAGGATTTTTAAAAAGACACAGTGCCCTAAATCGGTGATGAGTGCCTCGGAATTGTCTGAGAAATTGTAGTTTCAGATCAGATTACTCTCTTAACTTGATCATTTGCTCCTGTGAGGTATTTAAACCAAAAGACCACCACTGACAGCAATTTGAGCGGTACGTGTCCGCTTATCTTACAGTGTTGCCACACGAGACAGCATAAATGCTCATTTGAGACCATTTGTTGTTACGTTCGCCTTATGATACTACAACAGCTTGTAGCCACCCATTAAAATAAAAAATGCAATAATTTTATAAGTATGGTATATTGCGTGGAGAACAATTTCCGTGAGTTAGATTACCCGTTCCTGCTGATATGCTAGGAATAATG